CCGTTCTTGTTATATTTACATCCCTACTATGTCATGGCTATATAACAATGTTTTATACCTACATTTTTTACGATTCAGCTCTTTCTTTTCACTATTTTTTGCGAATTGTTAAAAAAAATTGCAAAAAAAAATTTTTAATCAAAAAATTGAACTTTGATGACTCCTACTGGCGAACCACTACGAGTTACACAAAAAAACACAAAGGCAATTTTGAAGAGCGTGAAATTCCCTATAAGGTCCATAAAACCGATTCACAATATTGTAAAGAGCGGGCCAGCATTAGAAATTTGAAAAAAAAAAAACATTTTTTTTTACATGCATTTTAAATGGGAAAACTTTAAATTTAAACTGCAAGTACTTAAAATTGATATTAAGAGCTCTACCTTGGTGAATTTTTTTTTTCTATAGGTAGATTAATATTTTGCTTGAGCGCCGAGAAAAAAAAAGTTTTTTGCGGAAATGAATCACCCTAATATATATAGCAAAAAATTAACGGTATCGGCTACAAAAAATCATATCGGTCGATCCCTACCGACAAGCGTTTTGCAAGTTACGTAATAAAGAGAAACACGTAAACGTAATCGCATGTTATAAAGTTAAAACCTCCTTATGTACTCGAAATTTCCAAGCAGTGTACGAGAAACTCATGTGGTTGACGTTTTTCGTACACTGCTTAGAAATTTCGCGATTCTTATCTACGAGCCTATCTATAACCTCATATAATCTCTCCTATTATTATTATTATTATTATTATTATATTGTGCTAGATTTCAGTTAAAATTACCGAAACGGGTAAATATTGGATTAAAAAGACCGACTGACAATCGACAGAGGAGAAAAATAATTAAATCAATTAGGAAGATACTTACCTACTTGTTATTAAATAAATTTTATTTAACAATCGCTCACAGTAATAACTATTTACACACATATAAAACTAAAGCCGAAACAAAAGATAAATAAAATAACCTCCCAACGTGAATGGCTTGGTGAATGGTAAATGCAGGGATGCAAGAGTTATTGCCAACATCATAGAAATAATTGTACTGTTTGGAAGAGGATTATACTTTTTACACGAAACTTCCCGAAATTTGCCGAGTGACTGCTAAATACCATGAGACTAAAGCCGACTGCTGTGACTGCCTAAGGACTGCCAAGCGACTGCCAAAGACTACCTAGCGACTGCCTATGACTGCCACTGACTGCCTATATAATTATCGACTGCCAGCGACTGCCGAGAAAATGTACATGTAATGCCAAGAGTGAGACACCCCTCGGTCAAATATTATCTTTACTTTTAGCACAGCCGACTTGCATTAAAAAATCTGGCCATCCAAGTTAATGCATTTTTGTCGATTTTTTTGTATTGTAACCAAACATCCAACTTAAAACTAAATAATATATATACACATATTTTTAAAAAAAATTTACAACATGAAGATTGACAGAATTACATATGATAAAAAATTGTTGGCTTTTCATCGCATAAAATTACAAATTTTATATTTTGAGTGGTTGGGCCAACTTCACTGAGACAGGGCTCGTATATATATATATATATATATATATATATATATATATATATATAGCTTAAGAGGGCAATACCCCTATATTCTATAGAATATTCCAGCTTAAAGGACAAATTAAGAGCCATATTGTTATAATAATTGTTAAGTTGAATATTATTACGGGTTGTCCAAGAATAAAAAACAATCTTTTTGTTTAAAACAAAATACTAGTAAAAACAAAATATAATATAATAAAATATAACTTAAACCGTCTTATTTTACGATAACACAGATAAACAAACTAAAAGGTATTAAACACTAGCCATCAATAACTATATATAAACATAAGATTTGTTATTTACAGTATTCTGCCCTGGTAAGCCAAACCCCCGGTATGTACAATATTGAGTTATAAGGGACAAAGGATCATTTTCATTGTTAAAAACAATAAAAAGCATCTTTTGTACTTTAATACTTAATATTGCGGATACGGGGGTTTGGCTTAGCACGGCAGCATTATATAGCATGTACACAAAAGAATAAAGTAGTTGTCCAACCTACAACATGATGAGAAAAGTGACGGAATCACTTCACTAACTATTGGAATAACCCGACGTGGACGGATAATTGGAATCAGACTACCAAGTCGCAACTCATGACTAGCAAAAGTTAGGCCCCCCAGCAAACTAACAAATTTCGTAAACATAAACCCAAAATGCTCTTGGCAAATACCAACTGCTAGAACTAGAGTGATTCCGTGCCATACCCAGGTTTGAGTAAGCATAATTGTCTTTTTACAACCAAAATGTATATCCCTTTGTTCCTAGCGCCTTAAATTCCTACTGGGCGTAAATCATAGGCATGTCGTTCATGAGCCCCTTAAAATGTGTGAAGCGGGGGAAATCCGGGAGGGGTACCGGCTTCACTAGCGGGGTCCGTGAGAGACGATGAGGATGGGACCGGTTAAACGTTCCTCATGTTCATGTTCATGAAAGGTTTTTATTTTTTTTTAAATATTTTGAGAACCGCTGACTTTTTTCTAATTTATAAATTTCACTAGCCTAGTGGGCCAGCGTTACATTATTAAGTCAAAACTTCTTAAGCGTGTTACCGGATAGAAGAACATTTTGACTAATGCACTTTTGTGGTTTCAGCTTCAACCCCTTCAATTAATATTGAAATTTACATTTAAAAAAAAATCACACATATTTTTTCGTGATTTGGCGAAAGCAAAGGCGTCAATGGTTTTTGAAGTCATATCCAGTTTTTCTCCAACATCCTTCTCTATTGACAATATAGTCGTTCGTGGCACATACTTGAACAGGGTGGAAGAAGAAGGTGGTATAGCTCCTATCTCTACAGTACAGAAGCAAGCGTCCAGATAAGTCACTATTTCGTTCGTTGTTCGTTAGATGGCGAGTCAACTAAGAACCTAAGGTTTTACTAACGAAACCCATATATTCTATAACAACTTAACTTTTAACAACAAATTATAAGATAAGAGTCTTCTACCCTCCTTAACGAAAATTAAATCTTTTCTTACAGCATTATTATAATAATTTGCAGAACGATTGGCAATACTGCAGTATTGCCAACTGTTCTGCCAAAATACGACGTTGAAATGGTTTTGTATGAATTTTAATTAAGCTTAATGGTCTATTCTTTGAAGTTAATCTATGCAATTTTACTAAAAATGGGAAAAGTTTAAATATAATAATATAAGATATGCTTATACAACCACAACAGCAACAAGAAATTTAAGAAATATTAAGGAACGAAAAAAGCCTATTTTACTACCGACAACTGAATTGGAAATAATAAGTACAATAAAAAACTTTAAAAAAAATCAGGTGGATATGATGGTATACATGCTAAAACGTTGAAACTGGCGGTAAACTTCATAGCTCCAGTATTAATGGTAATAATTAACAACGTTATGGTGCAGAGTGTGCCCCAAGCAGTTTAAATTAGCAGAAATATGCCCTATATACAAAAATGTACCAAGAAATTATATTGGAAACTAATATCCAATTTATCAAAGGTATTTGAAAAAATAATACATAAAAGGATATATGAATTCTTAATAAACTGTAATATTATAAACAAAAAACAATATGGTTTTGTTAAATTAAAGAGTACGAAAGATGCGGTTGCACTTAAACAAATTTTATTTATTTAAATATAGGAAAAAGTATGGTCTTCATGGATTACTCAAAAGCTTTCGAAACTGTAGATCATTGCAGATTATGTGTTAAATTGTACAATGTAGGTGTAAGAGGAGTTTGTTTGAAGTTTTAACTTAAAATTAAAACGTACTTGTATAAAAGAAAACAGTAAAAGTCAATGGTACCAAAAGTGACTCTGTTATGGTAAATGTGGGTGTACCACAAGGCTCAATTTTGGGACCTCTGCTTTTTATAGTGTATATCAACGATCTACTAAATCAACATATTAAAATGGTAGCATATGCAGATGATATAGCGGTCCCAACCCAAGTAGCAAAATAGGTTTTTTTAAGGTATACAAGGGCTTCATAAAACTACTCTTAAGGGTAATTTGCCTTGCTTAGTTAAAACCTATTTGCTTTAACAGCAGCTATAAAGCTTCGATACAACCATCATAGGGCTAAAAAGGATAATCCTATCGCTGTCCTTAGGAGCAATTTGTATATAAATTAAATTTATGTTAAGTTATGACTAGGAATGGGATTTTAGTTATTTTACCTTTTTTCAGCCGATGTAACTATTTGAAAACCAATAATGCCAAAATGTGTTTTAAAAGATATTCTTTTATATGAACCTAACTTGTTTTCACCTTTTTTACCTTTTTTGGAGGTTTTTGCTTTAAACTACCTTTTTTATACTTTTGTTACCTATTTTTTTAACTTGTTTTCAACTTTTTTACCTTTTTTGGAGGTTTTTGCTTTAAACTACCTTTTTATACTTTTGTTACATATTTTTTAATTTGTCAGATTATTTTCACCTATTTGTTAGGTACCTATTTTTAGGTATTTTTACTTATTTTATTTTTTTTGTGCTCTTTTTAAATTTATATTTTTTTTATATTTTATTTTTTCTTATGGTCACAGACTGTAAAAGTAACTTTCTTTACAGTTACCTTCTTTGAGTGAGCTTATCATAGCTGTCATAGAACTTCTGTGTAGTGAGTGTAACTCAGTAAATCACATTTTATTGCATATAAATGCGGCTAAACAAAATTATAAACGAAACTTGAACTTTTAATGTTTTTTTTTTACCTAAAATGCTGTTTTTTTAACCTAAAATGCTTTTTTTTAGTACCTTTTTAGTTACCTATTTTAGTACCTAAATATCCCATCTTTAGTTATGACATATTAAATTTAGTTTTAAGGGACCAACCTATGTACGGGCATTTGCAATGCCTCCTATAGGTCCTTACGATGTAAGGAATTTGGTAATAGTAAATAAATAAAAATAAAAAAATAGTACGACATTTCAAACAAGTACTTTTGCAATGGATAAACTGATGGAAGAGCAACGTAAAAAGAATAGACAACCATTGAAATCACTTCAGGAGGTGGTAACTCGCTGAAACAGTGTTTTATATATTCTGGAAAGACTACTTATTCTAAATGATGATTGCAGAATGCACCCGAAATTTTATTGTTTGATGACATTAATGCTTGATGCAACAAGACAAGTATCTGGCGACAGCTATGTAACAATATCTTTTCTAATACCACTTGTTGTTGGAATTTACACAAGTTTAAAAGAAATTGCACCTATACTGAAAACCAATGTTGCTATTAATCTAAACCTTAAATTATTGGATTCTAGTGTGAAAAGATTACTGCCATACGAACTAAGAACTGGTTCAAGAGTCGCTACATTGTACATTGTTACTTTAGGTTAAAAAAACATGGATTTCGAAATCCTGAAAATGCAAATCAAGCGCAAGTTTTTATACTCGGGGAATTATCGCTGAAGAAAAAAGAAACCTCTGTTCCTGCTACTAGTACATGCACACTGGACGAGGATGAGGACGTAGACAATCAACAGCTATCAACATCGATAGGTTCTACACCTCATGTTGCCTCCAGTGGTTCTTATTTATTTAAATTCTTAAATAATCGAATAGCCACGGTTGCTAAAAAAGCGACAATAACCTCAGATTCGATCATCATGCTGCGGCAGTATCTGGGAGTAGTCCCAGTCTACCTTACAACCGCTTTTTAAGTTAGCAAAAAGATTTCTCTCAACACCAGCCACTTCTGTCTCTTCAGATTAATTTTTTTTAAAACAGGCCAAATACTTAGTGCTCGGCGTGCTAATGTAAAATGAAAAAATGTAAATATAATCGTATTTCTGAACAAAAACGACTGGTTAAATAAATAAATATTTTTAATTTTTTTCCCCAATATAAAATTTAAATCGATAGTACTATCGATATTATCGATGGTGTTAGAATCGCAGTATTGATTAATCGTAACCCAGCACTACCGATAGTTCTCCACCTCTAGTTTGGACGACTACTCTAAGCAATGGTTAGTAACCATGTATATTATAGAAATATGTCAGAATTCCGAGTTATAAGTCGGAATTCCGAGTTATAAGTGAGAATTCCGAGTTATGAGCGAGAATTCCGAGTTATAAGTCGAAATTCCGAGTTATAAGTGGGAATTCCGAGTTATAAGTCGTAACGTTTATTTAAAAAAAAAGTGTGGCCCTTCTAGGCTTCTGTATGTGAAAGATGACCATATATTATGTTGTCGCGCTGCGCTTACAGCTTGCCATGTTGACAAAATGTACAGTTACGGAAAGAAGTAATGTCCATTTGAATGCTCCATTGTAATTGTTCGGAGACATTCGGAAACATCTGCCGCTTAGGGATTTACTACCTGCTCGTATTGAATTAATTATTTTGGGTATTTTAGATATTTAACTGTATTTTTATTAAATCGTTAATTTTTTGATATATTTTTGTATAGTTTTATAAACATTTATTCTTATTTTTTCATATTAATATTTTAAATTTTTATATTAATATTTTAAATGTAGGACAAATTTTTAAATATTTGATAAAAAATAAGCCAATCACTGATACCTAACAACGTAAATATAATATAATTCACTTTGATAGGCCGGGCGGTTATATTGGTTACCATTATTTACGCAAAAAAAAACAAAAAATTTCAATAATATGCAATAGAAGTAGAAAAACTTATTAATAGTGCACAAAATGCATTTTAGTTTAATTTATAATTATTTTAGTATTAAATGTCTATATTTCATTTAAATATATTGTTTTATTAATAACAACTTATTAAATAATATATAGTTATAGAACATATATTTTATTTAAATTATTTCAGAATCAATGTTATTCCTTTTATATTTAATTATTGCATAAAAGCTTAAAACTCAAATGAAATGTGCTTAGAAAGAATGGTAAATAGCAGGTAGGTAGAATTATTGAGTTTAAAAATAGATATGTTAATTTTATTAGCAAAACCCGAATGCCTCCGAACAATTACAATGGAGCATTCAAATGGACATTACTTCTTTCCGTAACTGTACAATAATTTCGCCGACACGCCTTAATGGTGGGGCCTATAAAACGCAGGGCCGGGTGCAACCGCACCGTTTGCACATACCTCACGCCGGCACTGTCACTAGGCTTGTAATTATGTAACTTTTCTTTAATTATTTACGACCTTGTATCTCTTCAAATAAAAAAAATATTCATAATATGTATTAAAGTACACATATAGAAGGATACTTTATACATGTATAGCAAAATATATATTTATGCATTATAACCGGTTCATAATTTGCAAATTGTTTAAAGTATTAATTTATGTTGACAATAAATTTAAATTAATTAATTTATGTCAATTTACGATTTATTACCTACACAATTATCAAGTATGTATGTATACAATGGATTTCGATAAAGCCGCTTTATAATGTGAATTCATAAATACAATATGCATTAAATATAGGTAGGTAGTACAATTCCTGTTCGGTTTTCACTTAGAGTAAACTGTGCCTAAACTATTTTCCAGTGATGTAACCGATACATTTTTTTCAGTATCTAGGTACCGATACAGATACTCTCTGGTAGATGTATCTGGGTACAGATACCGATACATTTTCCCAAAAGTATCTGGGTACAGATGCAGATACATTCAAAAAGTATCTAAGTTACTTTCAGGTACTATGTTAAAAAAACTTAAAAATTAAATGACAAAAAACCTTATAAACAAGCGTGCTAACTATAAAATAAAACTGTTTTGATAAAATTGACGAAATATCCATGAAAAACGGAAATAAATTTTATATTTACGCGCCATATGACAGCTTAGGTACTACAAAATTTGTAGTACAAATTCAAAATTATCGTTAGGTCTCTGGGTTCGGTACAGTGTTGCCATGGATTTACAGGAAAAAGCATCTGCAGATGCTTTTTCCTGTAAATCCATAGAGGGTGGGAAAAAGCGTTAAGCCGGATTTATAGATTGCCTTCCTTCCTTCTTTCCTTCCTCCCGTAAAAGATGAATAATACGAAAACAGTAGTTCAGTTTATAGATTAGGGTATGGGAGTCTATACACAGCACTACGGTTTTCGTAGTGTTCATCTCTTACGGGAGACATCAAAAATATCCAATGTAGGTATATATCCTGGATATCCATAGAGTATATCCATTGGATGTTCATTTTTCGTGTGGCCCACACGGTGTGGAGTTGCAATCAGGTTGGGTAAAATAAAATGTATCTTGTATCTATCTAGATACTTTCAAAAGGTTCTAGATAGTAAAGTAGATCCTGATTTTCTTAAGTATCTCGATACTTATCTAGGTACATAAAATGTATCTAGATCCAGTATCTAGATACATATATCTCGATACATTACATCACTGCTATTTTCTAACCGTATTAGTATTTCTGCATAAATATCGTAATCAAATACACAACAAATGTACATACAATAACTTTATTTAAAATTTCTATAATTAGATTCGAATACTGATTTTGTTTTAGTAAAGGAAGTAGATATACAAATTATTTTTTTCCACTGTGCGTAAACCTTATGTTGGCGTGTTTATTGTTGTTTAGGTGACTGAATTTTTGTTTATTTTACCATATATTGCGTTTCACGGGACCGTTTGTTTAGTGCTTTGGTGCTAGATTATAAAGGTTTTGGACAGATTTATATTACTAATAATACGTTTACTGTCTTATGGGAATTTTTTTTTCTTGATTAGCTGTTTGTTTTTCTTGTTTATATGCGTTGATGATGCTTAACATCTTCGAGAGGGTTAGTTTAAAATGCCAGATCACTTTCTTAGTAGAGAATGCAAATCATGCGGCTTAAACCTGTTTAACTTATCTTTTGTTGCTGCGATCAACTTGACCCTCTCTTTGGTTCCTTCGGAAGACTGAATTTACATGCACAGGTAATTTAACTGATTTTGTACATTATTCCCTTGATAGGAGGTTATATTGCACTGCACTACTGTATTAGCGCTTTGCTGATTCTGTAAGACTTCAGGATATAGGTACCGTGATTTTTCCTGTACATACTCTAGGCCCTAGTTTCGCACCGTGTAGACTTAAATTGCCTGATAATAAACTAACTACACTGTGTGCGATTTACTGATTCTGTTAGGCTTTTATTATTACGTACTTTTTAGAAGTGATCTCGTGCGCGTATGTACCTTATGATGACTTTTAAATTAGTCGAACTGTGTTAATTAATATTACTTTTATTATAATTCATATTTTTAAAATTATTGCACATTTTATGTATTGTTTAACAAATAAAAGTGTGCCTTAAAGATAAAATGTTTTATGTCGTTCAGCTAAGAATTGTATTTTGATCTTGGCACAAAAAACTCACTTCTTAGCCCGATGACATAAATAAATATAATAGTTATCGTCGACCGAAAAAGATTGATTTAATTGCTTGTGAATTAAGTAATGGAGACAATGCTTTTTATAGTCTAAATAGAAACAAACCGACAAATTTTCAGGGATGGTAAAGGACATCAAAACAAAATCTTTTTGCTTTGTATCGTCCAAAAATTACTTGTTGAACCTCTAGATCAATAATTTTTTTTAAATCATTTACTAATACTTTTTAAAAATTTAAAAATGAAAATTAGAGTAAAGTGTATAGTAAATTTAAAAGGAAACGACGTACACGTCATCGATGACGTCATAATTTTGCGCACTGGTACCAACACTAAATGTAAGTCTGTAATTAAATACTTTAATGCATTTTAAACAACTTTAGTTGGCAGCAATTGCAATGTTGTCATGTTTAGATTAAAATTTTGCTTAATAAAATGACGCATAGAAAAAGAAATTGACGTTTTAGAACTTTGATGCTGTCAGTTGTGTTTTTGAATATTTCGTGTATCATTTCGTTTATTTATTTTGTTTGTTGTTTGTGTTAATTTATATCGTTTAAGTTTTTATTGCCGTTTTTGTGCTTGTTATATATCGTTTTTTTGTTTTTCCTATATTCAAAATGCCGAAGCATTTAAATAGTCGGAGTCAAGGGTTGGACCGTTTTTGGACAGAAAACTGGACCGGAACCGGTATTTATTTGTGGACCGAAACCGTAACCGAACCCATATTATTTTTAAACGTAACTCTAGAAACCGAACCCGAACCCGAACCCTTTAAATATAAAACGGGTTTTTAGGTAATTTTCGGTTTTTTTCTTAATTTATTTTTGCAGAAATTCTAGGAAACAAGAGGTTTTTGGCCACCATTTAAATCTACAAATCAGTGGAGATTACATGACCGCTGCTCCTTTAATGCACACTGCTCTGTAAATTAATATATATTTTTTAAATGTTTCTCCATATTTACTTTATATTAATTTTTTTATAACCAAAAATTCTTTAGGTTGTTTAAACTTAATTAAGTGTTAATTTTTTTGGAATTGTTGTTTGAATTTTTATAAAATAAGAAAGAGTTTTAATTTTAAACAGTAATTGTCATCTTTTTTTAAATTTTATAAAAAATATTTTAAACAAAAAATATGTTTTTTATTAATAATTTTTTTCAATTTCAATTGAATAAGACATCACCTATTAGTATATGTTTGACGTCTTACACCTCTGTCAGATGGGAATACTGTATGTCAGATTTGCGTATCCAAGACACAACAAATACATACAATATGTAAATCTCGCATGTAGTTTCCCTTTCTAAAAGGGGTCTTA